AGTGGTGCTGGAGTCCAGGGCGATGCCATCCAGGGAAACTATATCTTTAGATAATGCGTCATGGAGGTGCTTAGGCCCCAGAGCAATAACTTCAGTTTTATCTGAGTTTAACATGAGAAAATTACAGGTCATCCAGGTTTTAACATCCTGAAGGCACATTTGAAGTTTAGCTAACTGATGAGTTTCATCTGGCTTGATCGATAGATATAACTGAGTATCATCTGCATAACAATGAAAGCCTAAGAGAAGCATATAAAGTGAAGAGGATTGGTCCGAGGACAGATCCTTGAGGAACTCCATGACTAACTTTGGCATGCATGGAGGACTCATCGTTAACATGTACAAACTGAAATCGATCTGATAAATAGGACTTAAACGAGCTTAGAGCGGTTCCTTTAATGCCAATGAAATATTCCAGTCTCTGCAATAGGATCTGATGGTCAATGGTATCAAATGCAGAGTCCTTTGTCTGATGCAATAAGTTAGTCGTTAGTAATTTTCACCAGTGCTGTCTCTGTGCTATGATGAGCTCTAAATCCTGACTGAAAATCCTCAAATAAACTATTGCTCTGTAGAAAGTCACACAGCTGTTTAGCAACTGCTTTCTCCAGAACCTTAGAGAGAAATGGAAGGTTAGATATAGGTCTATAGTTGGCTAAAACATCCAGATCAAGTTTGGGCTTTTTCAGAAGAGGTTTAATTACAGCTACTTTAAAGTACTGTGGTACATAGCCTGTTGATAGAGATAGATTGATCATATCTAGTATAGAGGTGCTGACTAAGTGTAAAACATCTTTAAGCAACCTAGTCGGGATGGGGTCTAAGAGGCAGGTTGATGGTTTAGATGAAGAAATTATTGAAGTTAGTTGGTAAAGATTGAGTGAAGCAAAACAGTCTAAACATGTATCTGGTTCTACAGCTGTTTCTAAGGTTCCTGAGTTAAGAGATAAGTCGGTGCCAATTTTGTCTCTAATAGCTAGAATTTTATCATTAAAGAAGCTCAGGAAGTCGTAACTACTGAGAGCTATGGGAATACTTGGCTCAATAGAGCTGTGACTCTCTGTCAGCCTGGCTACAGTGCTGAAAAGAAACTTTGGGTTGTTCCTATTTTCCTCTATTAATGACGAGTAGTACGCTACTCTAGCATTACGGAGGGCCTTCCTATAAGTTTTAAGACTATCTTGCCAAATTAAACGAGAATTTTCCACTTTGGTGGAACGCCAATTCCTCTCAAGTTTCCGCAATATTTGCTTTAATTTGCGAGTTTCAGTATTATACCATGGAGCTAACTGTCTTTGTTTTAGTATTTTCTTTTTTAGAGGGGCTACAGAGTCGAGTGTCATTCGCGGCGAGCCTGCAGCACTATCAACAAGATGATCGATTTGGGAGGGACTGAAATTAGCATAGGAGTCCTCCGTTACTTTGTGACTAGATAAAGTATTTAGAGCTGATGGAATCGCATCCTTAAATTTAGCTACAGCACCATCAGACAGACATCTTGTATAGAAATTTTTGCCCAATCGCGTGTAGTTCAGCAATACAAACTCAAAAGTTATCAAACAGTGGTCGGATAAAGAGGGATTCTGTGGGAACACCACTAAATGTTCAATTTCAATACCATACACCAAAACAAGGTCGAGGGTGTGGTTAAAACAGGGAGTCGGTTCATGAACACTCTGAGAGAAGCCAATGGAATCTAACAGAGAGATAAACGCAGTACTAAAGCTGTCATTCTCAACATCCACATGAATATTAAAATCCCCCACAATAATAACTTTGACCGTTTTTAAGGACTAAAGTTGACGAAAACTCTGCAAATTCAGATAAGAATTCAAAATACGGGCCAGTTGCTCGGTACACTATAACGAAGAGAATTGGTTGCAGTGATTTCCAACTTTGGTGTGAAAGACCAAGAACAAGGCTTTCAAATGAGTGAATCAAATGAATTTAGTTTAGGTTTAGAGCTGATTATTAGGCTAGAGTCGAAGATAGCTGCAACTCCACCTCCTCGGCCTGTGCCTCGAGGAATGTGAGTATTAATATGACTAGGAGGGGTGGATTCATTTAGGCTAACATATTCTCCATCACCCAGCCAGGTTTCAGTAAGACAAAATAAATCAATATCATAATCTGATATTAGTTCATTTACTAGTACACCTTTAGAAGAGAGTAAGGGTCCACATTTAACTCTCCTACTCGTTTGCACTATTGCTCTTGTGGTTTTAATTTTTATGAGGTTTTTATGCACAGCTCCTCTTCTGTTTACCTTTTTAAATAATTTCGATGGTCGGGGGGCAGACACCGTCACTATAGGATTTTCACTAAGTAACTCCTGAAATGGAGGAGCAGAGAAGTGTGTTAGACTGCGACTCTGCGTAGGGTTTTGGGTGGGTAACTGCTGAAAAAGAAGGGCAGAGAAGTGTGTTAGACTGCGACTCTGCCTCCTGGTCTCAACTCTGGGTTGTCATGGATTTGGTCCACTAATAAACTTGGCCAGATTTCTAGAAATGAGAGCTGCTCCTTCCCAAGTGGGATGGATGCCGTCTCTCCGGATCAGACCAGGTCTTCCCCAGAAAGTCTGCCAATGATCTACAAAGCCCACATCGTTTGCTGGACACCACCTCGACAACCAGCAGCGGAATGACGACATGCGGCTATACATGTCATCACTGGTCAGATTTGGCAGGGGTCCAGAGAAAACTACTATCCAGGCTCGCAGGCGGCGCTGCTTCAGGGTGTGGAGGAGGACTAGGGCAGCCCTGATCCACACATCCAGCACCATGCAGAGGCAGGCCAACCGTCGTTGCCGCCCGGCCCCCACCTACACTCCGGGGTAACAGGTATGGCAACAGGTATCTTCCCCGCACCTTTAAGTATTTTTGACATTAAACTAAGTTAGTCACCACTTCTGTCTCCGTCCTACAGACGAAGCCTAACAGCAGGTGCGGATCAAGGCTCCTCTCCACAAGGTCTTGTTATCATAACGCTGTTAGCGGTAAAGTGTTTTCCACCAGGGCAGTAAAATGTGACGTTAAACTGGCTGATCAGAATTTCCGTGCTGTAAGTTACCGTTTTATTGTCAATTAATCAGCTGATTGTCTCGTAACCGGCACATCAGGGCTGGCCCTGGGGCACCTTTCTGTCCACGTAGCAAAGTTAAAGACACCCTGTTAATAAATACAATCCATATTTCTTTTTCCAGGGCAGTAAAAGTTTAGCTGGCTGATCGGAACTTCCATGCTGTAGACAAATTTTTATTGCCAGTTAATCAGCAGATTATCTATGAGTGTAACCGACACATTTACGTTCACAAAGCCAAAGCACTGGAGAATAAAGTTGCATGAAATTACAATCCAACTGTGTAGTTTTTCTACCAGGGCAGTAAAAGTTTAGCTGGCTGATTTGAGCTTTTATGCTGTTTATTGCTAATTAGCTGATTGTCTCACGAACGTAAGAGGCACATTTCTGTCGATATAGCGTAGCCAAGACACACACTGGAGAACAATATTTTTCAAAACATTGACAGGGAAAACACGTCACTTCTCGGTGATTATGGCCAGCTTCTAGCTAACTCGATCAAACAACAGTTTTCATTTGTGTCGCTAAAGTTAGAGCAACTCAATTAACTCTCCAGCAGAAAACAGACAACTTCAGCTCCGCTTTGAAAACATGTGTCCCACATCAGCTCCTTCCATCTGGGAAAATCCACAACAATTATATCCTTTATTTCTGCTATCATTTGTCTATATCTGTCACCAACTTTTCTGGCTTCATCATATTTACGCTTCTTTGGCGATGAAGATCGACACGCTGTTGGTTCGTACTAAATAATACTTGTAACGTTAGTGCTCCATTTGTCCAAATGTCACTTCTCTTCTTAGTTTTAATAAACCACTGCGGGAATTATACAAGCAGAAGAAGAACACCATGATGACATAACACGCTCTGTTGCGCTGTTTGTCTGTTGTGGGCTACTGTAGAAACATGGCGACACAATATGGCGACGTCCATGTAAGGGGGACCCGCGGTTATGTAGATATAAATGGCTCATTCTAAGTTAATAAAAACATAATGATTCATTATGTAAGGTCTTTAAACACCACTTTCAATAAATTCTCGGAAATATTACAGTGGACCTTTAGTTTGTTCCTTGTAGCATAATAAATGTACACTGTGGTATTGCTTTGCAAAATATCTTAGTACTTCTTTCACCGCTGCAATTTTGCAAACGTAGGTTACTATAAGGTAAAAGAAAAGCAATGAGTGGGGGTCGAAACATTTGGCTCCTGTTTTGGGCTGTCTGCGGTCAGTGGGTTTCATTCCACTTCAAATTGCCCCTTTCAGCTGTAACCTGAATCCAAAAACCTCTATCTCTGCTAACGAGAGGCATTTTAAAGCCTGTGATTCTATTACATAATTTAAATCATCTTTGTAAACATAGAATAATAATTTAAAAAATTTAATTATAAAGAGAAATTAACATAACATTAAATTGTTGTATTATGGAGTATTTCTGTGTTATAAATGCTGACTATTTATTTAAAATAACACCTTTAACACGGTGACAGAAATACTTCCTGATGGCGGCTCCTCAGTTATCCAATGGGACTGAAGCTCACAGCGTCATACATCCACAGCCAAAGGGCTGCTAGAAAATTAAAACTCAAGTGATATAATAAATAATGAATGCTTGTCTAATCTGTACTCCATAGTGTTACTACAGAGAGAATGTGGAAGACAGAGAGGCCATGCATACCAGATCTACCGTCCCTAAAGAATGCTCTTCCTCCTTCTGAGGAAGTGTGAGAACTGCTGTCAGTGATATTTGATATCTCCCTGGTGGAAATAGCTCCTCCACCTTGGAAAAATTGCCCAGAGTTCTTATTCATGCTAGCTAAAAACGTCGTAACGACGTAATGCGATGGCGATTGTCATGTGCAAGGTACACGTAGAACTGTACGTTTCCCTGTGGACAAAAAACAACAACAAAAAAAACGATCTAGGTTTTATTAGCAATTTATTGGATTTGGCAAATACACTGTCTCCACTTTCCCTATATTAACAATCATACATTTCCAGGAACCTTCTGAGGAGCTTACAGTTACATATCAGCTTATTTCTAGGAAATTTCAGAAAACAATGGGACCTGTAAAATAAAGTGTTGCCAAAGGTTCAGTAACAAACCAAGAAAGCACTATAAAGGTCTCCCTTCCACCTATTACACTGCAATGCAATCCAGAATTTCAGATGACTGCATCACATACTTTGAATTTACAGTATATTAATTAGACAATTACACCTACACAAACTGTGCGTTTTAAAAACAAATGTTTACCCTGACGTGCCGTGTCTTTGGTTTCTTTTTGTTCCTTTCATCACAGAATTGTTTGCTGCCACTTATCTTCATACCATAACGATTCCATCTCCTTTACCAACAACTTTGATAAAGGGAACATTTGAAAAAACTTAGTTTGAATAACTTCAGTAGGCAGTAAGCAGCATTTAACCAGAAGACTTTTTATACATATTTTAAAAATATACACAAAAGAAAGACAAAAATAAAATACAACAAAACAACCAAAGACAATGATAACTGCTGTGGTCTTTACCAACATGTTTGGTAAACAATTTCTATCCTGTGTGCGCAATCATATGTCTCGTCAGATTTCCCTGGACCGTAAATCTCTTCCCACAAACATCACAACCAAATGGTTTCTCTCCTGTGTGCACTCTCATGTGTTTCTTAATACTTCCCTGGACTGTAAATCTCTTCCCACAAACATCATAACCAAATGGTTTCTCTCCTGTGTGCACTCTCATGTGTTTCTTAATACTTCCCTGGACTGTAAATCTCTTGCCACAAACATCACAACCAAATGGTTTCTCTCCTGTGTGGACTCTCATGTGCGTCTTAATACTTCCCTGTTGTGTAAATCTCTTCCTACAAACATCACAACCAAATGGTTTCTCTCCTGTGTGCACTCTCATGTGTGTCTTAATACTTCCCTGGACTGTAAATCTCTTCCCACAAACATCACAACCAAATGGTTTCTCTCCTGTGTGGACTCTCATGTGTGTCTTAATACTTCCCTGGACTTTAAATCTCTTCCCACAAACATCACAACCAAATGGTTTCTCTCCTGTGTGGACTCTCATGTGTTTCTTAAAACATCCTTGTTGTGTAAATCTCTTCCCACAAACATCACAACCAAATGGTTTCTCTCCTGTGTGGACTCTCATGTGTGTCTTAATACTTCCCTGGACTGTAAATCTCTTCCCACAAACATCACAACCAAATGGTTTCTCTCCTGTGTGGACTCTCATGTGTGTCTTAATACTTCCCTGGACTGTAAATCTCTTCCCACAAACATCACAACCAAATGGTTTCTCTCCTGTGTGGACTCTCATGTGTTTCTTAATACTTCCCTGGACCGTAAATCTCTTCCCACAAACATCACAACCGAATGGTTTCTCTCCTGTGTGCACTCTCGTGTGTGAATCTACATTTTGCTTCCCTCTAAACCTTTTTCCTAAATGACACATCATGTGTCTCTGAAGAGACCCCTTGTAGTGAAAATGTTTACCACACTCAAAGCAGCTGAAGGACATTTCTCCAGCACTACAACTCACATCACTTACAGGTGCTTGCTTATATCTCAGAGCATTATCATCTGACTCGGGTGCCCTGGTCTCCTTCCAACCATTGTCACTGTCCTCAGTTTCAGCTTCAGAATCTGACAAAGGTTTTTGCCACTCATCATAACTGAATTCAGTGTCTGAAGAGTCTGAAGCATGTTCTTCAGTATTTGGGTGTAAATGACTATCTGGATCAAGGTTCCTGGCAGGTTCTGATCCTCCATCGGTTTCTGTCTGTGTAGCTGAGCTGCTGTTTGAAGGCTCTGCCTCTCTGTAGTCTTCAGTTAGAGTTCGATGAAGCTGTGGAGACTGAGGGTTCCGCTCATCATCTTCACTCTTCACAGGAACAGCAGTAAATGGGAACCTGGTGACCTCATCCTCCTCCAGCCCATGAAGCTGCTCTCTCTCCTGACTGGTCCGGAGTTCCTCCTGTTCCTCTTTTATGTGTAGGGGCTCTGTGTCCTCCTGGTCCAGGCTGGGGCTCCACTCGGGGGGAACCTCTTCTTTAATCACCAACAGCTGCTGGACATCCGCAGGAAACACTGCAACACGCACAAAACATTATGGACAACTGTGATGATTCCAGATGATCCTTAGCAGTTCATTTCAACTAAAATACCAAAAAGATTTGTTGACAGCCATTTTCTAGAAAACAAGTTAAAACTATAAAATGGATAAGAACTCAATCAATAATGTGAAAGATGGAATTCCCTTGGCAAATATTAGGACAGACAACAAGAACAACAAGAACAATAAGAACTAGCGATACTCAAGACATTTCTTTGCTATATTACCGGGACATACACTCACCTAAAGGATTATTAGGAACACCATACTAATACTGTGTTTGACCCCCTTTCTCCTTCAGAACTGCCTTAATTCTACATGGCATTGATTCAACAAGGTGCTGAAAGTATTCTTTAGAAATGTTGGCCCATATTGATAGGATAGCATCTTGCAGTTGATGGACATTTGTGGGATGCACATCCAGGGCACCAAGCTCCCGTTCCACCACATCCCAAAGATGCTCTATTGGGTTGAGATCTGGTGACTGTGGGGGCCATTTTAGTACAGTGAACTCATTGTCATGTTCAAGAATCCAATTTGAAATGATTGGAGCTTTGTGACATGGTGCATTATCCTGCTGGAAGTAGCCATCAGAGGATGGGTACATGGTGGCCATAAAGGGATGGACATGGTCAGAAACAATGCTCAGGTAGGCCGTGGCATTTAAACCATGCCCAATTGGTACTAAGGAGCCTAAAGTGTGCCAAGAAAACATCCCCCACACCATTACACCACCACCACCAGCCTGCACAGTGGTAACAAGGCATGATGGATCCATGTTCTCATTCTGTTTACGCCAAATTCTGACTCTACCATCTGAATGTCTCAACAGAAATCGAGACTCATCAGACCAGGCAACATTTTTCCAGTCTTCAACAGTCCAATTTTGGTGAGCTCTTGCAAATTGTAGCCTCTTTTTCCTATTTGTAGTGGAGATGAGTGGTACCCGGTGGGGTCTTCTGCTGTTGTAGCCCATCCGCCTCAAGGTCGTGCGTGTTGTGGCTTCACAAATGCTTTGCCGCATACCTCAGTTGTAACGAGTGGTTATTTCAGTCAAAGTTGCTCTTCTATCAGCTTGAATCGGTCGGCCCATTCTCCTCTGACCTCTAGCATCAACAAGGCATATTCGCCCACAGGACTGCCGCATACTGGATGTTTTTCCCTTTTCACACCATTCTTTGTAAACCCTAGAAATGGTTGTGCGTGAAAATCCCAGTAACTGAGCAGATTGTGAAATACTCAGACCGGCCCGTCTGGCACCAACAACCATGCCACGCTCAAAATTGCTTAAATCACCTTTCTTTCCCATTCTGACATTCAGTTTGGAGTTCAGGAGATTGTCTTGACCAGGACCACACCCCTAAATGCATTGAAGCAACTGCCATGTGATTGGTTGATTAGATAATTGCATTAATGAGAAATTGAACATGTGTTCCTAATAATCCTTTAGGTGAGTGTAGTTTACCATCTATCCATCAATTAGCTTACCCGTGGTAGGGTTGTGGGGGCAGCAGCTCTAGCAGGGGACCCCAAACCTCCCTTTCCCAAACCACATTAACCAGCTCTGGCTGGCGGATCCAGAGAAGTTAGCAGGCCAGTGTGGAGATACATTCTCTCCAACTAGTCCTGGCTCTTACTCGAGGCCTCCTCCCAGCTGGATGTTCCTGGAACACTTTGCCTTCCGGCTCAGCTCTCTTTTCATCACAATGTGATTCGGAACAATGGTGCGGAACCATGGCCTCAGATTTAGATGTGTTAATCCAGCCCAACGAAACGCAAATCCTCTAAGACCATGGGCATTACCCTATTAGGTTTAACTGGGGACTGTTTATGCTGGTTCTGAAGAGCTTTGACTAGCTTCTAACTGTCTTCCAGACGCCTACCCTGCTTACTTGACTGAATAGCCCTAGAGCCAAATACCACCTCAGCTATGCCCGTTAATGACAGCTCTCTTCTCATTGATCAGTGCACCTGGTATGGTTGCTAGGAAAATACTCCTCACGGATAAGTTAATTTCTCTGGCAAGAGCAACCTATAAGAACCTTTGAGGTTGTTCAACTAACAAAACCTAAAAAATAGAAATAGGTCTAGTGTCTACTACTTTGATTAAAATGATGAAATGAATGAAAATATTTAAAATGCAAAACTTGATTAAAATAGCTGAGCGAGAGAGAGTAAGGGAGGGGAAGGAGTTGTCCTGGCCAGTGAAATCCTTCCTTCGTTGCGGAGCTCTGCTCTGAGTCAGATTCCTTTGAGATTTGCTGAGGAATAACCCAGATCTTTCTCTGAGTTCTCTTTATCAATTCTTCTCAGTAGATGATGTCCTCATGCCAAATCAGCCATCACCCTTTCTGTGACTACCACCAAATGAAGTTTGGCAAAATGTCCCTATTTGATCATTCCATTCCCCTTACTTTACCCCTCTCTCTTGGTGACTCATGGTAATTAGACAACTACATCCAGCTCTATTTCTTAACAATTTCAACATGATTATTTCTAGCTCTTATTAGGTGCACTCTTTTTTGTTGGGTTTTTGTGTGTTAACCCAGTTTGCTGCTGTGATTTCCGGAGCATTTTAACCAGAGAAGAGCTGGGGGAACAACACCAGTGGATTTATTTCCCACTTTTGACTCATTGGACAATTTGGTGAAGCGCAGGCTCTCAAACGGATACTATGTGTGGAGCAGACACACCCAGACTCCCTTGTTATTTTTCTCAGTGACTTTAACAGGGGAAACTTCACCCAAGAACTCCCCAAATACAGACAGTTTATAAAGTATCTAACCAGAGAGGAGAACATTTTGGATCACTGTTACACCACAATAAGCAGTGCCATTCACGCTGTCCCCCGCACCGCACTGGAACACTCTGTCCACGTCATGGTCCACCTGATTCCTGCATACAGGTGAAAATTAAAGCTCTGTAAACCTGTAGTGAGGACATCTAAGCAGTGGACCAGAGAAGCTGTACAGGACCTTCAGACATGTTTGGACTGCACTGACTGGGATGTGTTCAGGACAACTACCAACAACCTGGATGAGTTTACTGATGCTGTGACATCCTAAGTCAGTTTTTGTGAGGACGGCTGTGTACCATCAAGGACCAGGGTGAATTATAATAATTACAAACCCTGGTTCACAGCTGGGCTCAGACAGCTAAGGCTGGAAAAGGAGGAGGCATTTAGGAGTTGGGATAGGGCCGGGTGCAGGTCGTTAAAGTACTTGTTTATCAAGGAGGTGCGAGAAACTAAACAAATGTACTCAGAGACTATAACACCAGTTCTCTGCAAATGACGCCACTTCCGTCTAGAGGGGGTTCAAACAATTCAAGAACTACAAACCCCAAACACCCCGCTCCATCAATGACTGTCGCCTGGCAAGTGAACTGAACCATTTCTACTGCCGCTTTGAGAGACAATCGGACACCATACCCCGAAAGTCCTCCGCTCAGCTCCAGCCCCAGTCCACTATACCCTCCTCCACCTTCTCCCCCCTCTCTCCATCTCAGAGAGGGATGTCAACAGACTATTTAGGAAGCAAACCCCCCGCAAAGCAGCTGGGCCGGACTCTGTCTCCCTATCCACCCTGAAGCACTGTGCTGATCCGCTGTCTCCGGTGTTCACTGATATTTTTAACACCTCACTGGAGACATGTGCCAGCCTGCTTCAAAAACCACAGGACTAAATAACTACAGACCCGTCGCCTTGACATCTGTAGTAATGAAGTCTTTCGAGTGCCTTGTGTCCCACCTTAAATCCATTACAGACCCACTCATGGGTCCCCTGCAGTTTTCCTACAGAGGAGTTTGACGTGGCCCTTCACGTCAAACTCCTGAAGTTTGCAGATGACACCACCCTCATTGGGCTCATCTCAGGTGGGGATGAGTCTGCATACAGGTGGGAGATCAAACATCTGGTGACCTGGTGCAGCCAGAACAGTCTGGAGCTCAACGCTCAGAAGACAGTGGAGATGGTCGTGGATTTCATAAAGAGCCCAGCCCCACCTTCCCCCATCATCCTGTGTGACTCCCCAGTCACCACTGTGGACTCCTTCCGCTTCCTGGGCACCATCATCTCCCAGGACCTCAAGTGGGAGCTGAACATCACCTCCCTCACCAAGAAGGCCCAGCACATGATATATTTCCTGCGGCAGCTGAAGAAGTTCAGCCTAACAAAGACAATGATGGTGCACTTCTGCACCGCCATCATTGAGTCCATCCTCACCGCCTTAACACCTCCTTCACTTAACTCCATAAACTCCAAATGTAGCTCCAAACAGCCGTGGGGTTGTTTGCTTGTGTTGTCTAATCACATCAAACTACACTCACATGGCGGTGATTAATCAGATTAGCTGAGTTTATGAGTTTTAAAGTTTAAATAAATTATTTAATCGAGAACTTTTCATTTTTTATTGTAACTTTTGTAGTCATGATACTTAACAGGAGATTTGAAAACAAGGTTTCCAAGGATTTAAACGTAATTGGCAGCAGTGGTGGACAGGAACTAAGTATAGGCCTACTTACTCAAGTACTTTACAACTACTGTACAAATTAGAGATATACCCAACCCTATCTCAGAGGGAGACATTGTACTTTTAACTTGACTATATTTATCTGACAGCTTCAGTTACTTTACAAAGAAAGATTTTTACACACAAAAGTTATGAAGATTTAATAAAATGTGATTTTGTGTTATAAATTAAACTTCCCAACAGTTTATACAGGTCCAGCTAGTACATTTGTTGATTGACAGAAATTTAATTGTGAAGTAATTTTTCACATTTTATGCTTCCAGCTTCACAAATTTGAAGATTAGCTGCTTTTCCTTTTTTTCTTGCTGCTTTTTTCATTATTTTTTGAAAGTTATTAATTACAGTCTGATGCAAAATAGTTCAACCGCAACAACTGCAGCTGACATAAACTGCAGCTGACATGAGTAAGAACAATAAAATATATAATATATAACAGTCACGGGATATTTTTCATTCTGAAAAATTGAGTACTTTTATTTTTAATACTTTAAGCATATTTTCCTGATTACACTCCTTTTAGCTCTGGTGCAACCCATTCAGTAGCACTAAGCTGTAAATAGTCAGATGTGACACAATTCACCAGAAGAATTTCACCAGAAATAAAATATTTGAAACAGACATGTTGACAATGAACCACCTGATGATATAACAGAATATCAGTGAAAATGTACCAACCTGATCTGTGTACCTGACATGTTGGGCTGAAAACAGCATCCAGCAGTTTATGTTGTCGCTCACTTTCTCTTAAACGAGATATTTCCTCCTCATATTCTGCTATTGTTCTTTCAAACAGCCCAAATATCTCCTCAGCGGCCGCGTCGAGTCGCTGTTTCACCAACGATTTCAGCATTTAGAGTTTTGACATGCAGATCACGATGTAGAGAAAATGTCCTCAGCAGCTACTTAGTCAGTCAAAACAATCAGAATCAGTTAAAATCAGTTAAAATCAGTTAAAATCAGTTTCTTCGCTTCCAAACAATCACCAAATGCTGCTGTTGCTAGGTTACAGCCTGTCATTCCATTTTCAGTTGGCATCATAGGCAGAGCAGAAGAGGGGTTGCTTATTGGGCTTAAGTTAAACTTTGTTTAATTTCCCCTCAGTCTTTCTGACAGGAGCAGCAAAACAAAGGAGCAAAAGCTCTATTACTGTGGTGGCGGTAATGCATCTCTCTGGTTTGCCAACCGCTAATATCTTTCTAATATCTTGTCTGTGTTGTTTCACTGGCTTGCTAACCAGACAAAGTTTTTTACGCTGAGGGGTAAACCTCACCGGCCATTCACATAGAGAAGCAGTCAGACAGTGAACCGCGGAAGAATGTTTCAGGTTTGTTAGTCTGCATTTGTAACACTTCAGTTCTCTAACGTGTCGAGACTATCTCTCAACCTAAACACCTGCGCCAGTGTGAAATCACTGATTGTTTGATCTCCACCTGAGCTAGGGTACGTGCATGAAAACAATCTTCATTACAAAGAACAAAAAAACAAAACAAAGAAAAGTGTGTGGGTTACAGCAGAGCCCGAGCTAACAGAGAAAGAACATCTTATCTGCTTTAGTTTGGGAGCCTGTCTGTGGGCGGCCTCCTTGGAACTGTTGCTCCAAAACAGTTAGCTGGTTGTGGAGCTGTGTGTCCACCCTCTCTGGAGTTTTGCTTGCGGTGTCGTGAGCTGACGCCCATTTGTCTCCAGCTCCTCATCCACAGTCTGTTGCTGGAAGATCACCTGCCTCTGCTCCAGCAAACCCCTGCAAATCCCTAAAGGTAGCTTTAAGTTGAATTCTTTCAATTTAACAATTTAGCATTGCTATTTATTCTGTGACTAAAAAGTGAACGTGTGCTACAGATGCGAAGCCTTGGACGCATTATTAGTGTCATAATGGAAATGAATGAATGAATGAAGTCTTCCTATTACACATATTACACACTTAATTTAATAAAATACTTTTACTGTATTTACAGTATTTTCTCTTGTAGTAGTTGTATGTATCTAGACTTGGAAGTTTTTGTAGCTACCTCATGTCTTGTGTAAAGATAACTGTTTAGTGATTTATGTGAACTGCTACTGCAACAATGTCACAACCCTTTGGGGTCAGTACAGTTTTTCTCTGTCAGTATTTGCTTTTGGGAGTAGAGCAACTTACATTTACTATGCCTGGGCTTCTATTCTTAGATACAAAACTATATTGGACAACAAGAAGAAGGCTGGGAGTGGTGCCAGAAGCTGGGTCTTTTTCTCTTCGATGGAGGACCTCCTGGCTGATGATCCCAGTGTGGATCCGGTCCACATTGTGTCCTCATTTGCTGGAGATCTTTTCCATGTCATTTGATATGTTATATTAAGTAGCACAACAGCACACAGCTACATGGATTTCTAAAACACATTGGATATTAATTGTGAGGTTTTTATTTAATCATTCATTGGTCATAATAAACTCCCATATAACCAACCATGTTGTACAAAAATTAGCAGTTACTTAGTGTTGCTAACAACTTTATATTAAAGATGGCTTTTGTTTCTCTAGTAACTAAGTTTGATGAACTGGATGTTGGCTTTGTTTGCACACAACTCTCATTTACAGTATGCAGACATGTTTGAGTCCATGTAAAAATGTTGGAGGAAAGTGATGCTTGCTGCCTTGATCACTCATATTTTAAGACTACCTGGTTTGATCTATTACTCTTAGGATCTTCATCAGACCCAGATGGCCCAGGACCTTCAACTTTTCATCCTAAGCCATCAGCCGAAGGTGGTAAAAAGGAAAATACATCATCTGAGGCACCTCAGTGGTTTGTGGAGCATGCCACTGAGCAGAGAAGGCAAATGTCAGAACTAATGCTAAATCAGAAACAAGCAATGGAAGTGGCAACAAAACGAAATGACATCTTGAAACAATGCCTTAACAAAGAGGTTGAGCTGTGGAGTGCATTGAATTGTTTTTTTTTCCTGTGGCGTTATCACGGTATGGTGTGACTCCAGGGAAGCCAGTTTTTTTTAAACCATGTGCCAGTTTGGCAAGCTCATCCTCTCTGGGCCATTGTATGATTTCCCTTCATCAGTCCACACAGGACCTTGCAAAAGTCTAAAAACACATGATGCAGGGTTCCTTTGGACATGTCAAAGGGACATTTTCTTGCGTACTGGGACCCAAGCTGCCGGTACTCTCCTCTGCCCTCTCAACATGTCCATGAAGATGTGCCGAGCATTATGATTAATGTAACAAATAAAAAGCCTATACTCTAGAGTCTATTAAATTAAGCAACCCGGGTTAAGGGGTCATGTTCAGTTCACGTATTTCTGTGAGATCAGGTTGTATTAAGAGTAGCCTTAAAAGTGATTTTAAGACATATTTTTATTTGATTTTGTATGTTGCCTAAATGTTTTTGAGAGTGACATTTTCATGAACTTTTCACAACAGGGTGTTCGAGGCACCACCGTTTCCGTTGTGCTACGCTTTGTCAGCGCTTTACTTGCCCCTGGTCTCCCAGCTCCCCTCTCTTCTCTTCTCTGAAACTCAGATGTCGACTGGCTGGATCAGGCCGACTGCCATATCTGGTTTTGGTTTATTTACTTTACAGATACACACAACTTGCATAGTAAAGTTTTCTTCAACATTTTCCTGTGGTGCTGTAAAAAGCCTTAAGCAGCCCGCAGCCAGAGGGATACCTGTTCATGCAAAAACAGGTATCCATCTAAAGTTTGGGAGTATTTTAGATGTCGTGGGTCAACGTATTAAGTGATTTCTGCACCACTGCTTTAATGGTAACGTAAAGTTTCACCATGGGTCAGCTAACATTTGGTCATTTTATAATTTCTGTTTATGTAACGGCCAGATAAGTAAGAAAATGGCTTAAACCAGTGTGACGGACATGTTAGGATCTGTGACTGTTGTTACAGTCTGCAAATCGTTTCAGATATTTTTCTTTGCCACACACTGATGCAGAAAATATGTAAAGTACTTAAAAGTTCTGTTGTTATTAATATCATAACACAGCGGTGACATGGAAATTTGACTCATTTTCAAATATGCCACTGTTATCATTATTCTAATGAGCTTTACCTGTCTCTTTTTCAGGATGATTGAATAGAATATTGAATCATTAGACAAGTTTTTGATATTTTGAATAAATAAATGAATTGTTTTATTAATCAAGTGATAAAAAAAATTATAGAAAAAATAAGCAAAATAATTGTTAGATGCAGACCTAAATTTGCTGGAGTTACCTTTAGCTGAAAATCCTTACACGCTGTCTGAAAGTGTCGGTTATGACGCACTGAGATGATAATGCATGTGTGGCCCGCAGACAGACGTGAAAATAAGTCACAGTGTAATTGTGTGTAACTGAGTGAGCTGTTTGCCTTTGTAAATGACCAGGTCGACGAGATCTTTCGATGCTCCGCAGGCTTCCTGTAGCTGGCATCACAGTGGCAACACTGGCAGAGGAAGAACCTTCTGCTCTGCACACAACCTAATTCATAAAAGCTATTTTTGTCATGTAGCCTAGTTGTTATTTGTTCTAAAAAATATTGGAATAAGATCTATGTGGATGACAAAGCATTTTTTCCCCGTGCAGTGTCTTTATTAAAAACATTGTCCTTTAATAAAATAAACAGATTTGGTGAAAAGCCTCGGTTAAGTAAGGTTTTACCAAATGCATGCAAAAAGAAAAATATTTTAAATAAGGAATTACGGTTTGCCTGCTTCACCATCCTGTAAACCTTTGTACCTTTCTGTGTTAATGAAATAACTGAACTGCACTAGCTCTGCTTTTGGCGTCTGCATTTGGGTCCCCCTATTTATTTTATTGTGGTAATGATTTTAAAGTACTTTTGGATGCTGTGGAAAATGAACTTTTTAACAAGCTATTATGAAATTTAACTAAATTCATAATTTGTGGAAATCGTGCAACAAATATATAAATACATATAAATTGCATCACACATAAAATGTCAGTCTGTTGCAATGCTGTATAAAAATAAGGATTTTCTATATGACATTACTTAAATAGCCTACCCATCTTTTTCACTAAAGGCTACACAGACTACTTTTATTTGTAACGTATTGTTCAGTGTATCGTTAGTAGGCTTCTGAAGGAAAGTAGAGATCAGACTGACGTGTTTTCGGACGCCACAAATCTGATTCCCAGATTTCCGACAGTGTTGAAAGCAGCATTAGCTGGTGCAGTGTTGCGGTCAGACAGACAGACAGACAGACACGTCTAACGGGACAGAACCGCTGTGATTCACGCAAACACTCGTTTCTTCCACTTGATAAATTAACGGGAGCATTTTAACGCGGCGTCGCCGGCATGAACACGGAGGAGACGAACGTGGAGCTGAAGGATGCGGAGACCAAAGATGCTGAGCCGGAGGATGCGGCGGATCCCGCTCAGGCCGCTGCGGATGCTGACGCGACAGAGGCCGATGTGAGCGAAGCTGATCTGGACCAGGAGGAGCAGGAGAAGCTGCCGATGACCGGAGGAGGAGACCGGGATGAGGACGCGCCGTCGGCCGGCGGAGAGGCGGCGGCGGTGGAGAAGAACGGCTCCGTGAAGCTGAAGATCCCCGAGGAGGCGGAGGAGGTGAAATTCACCGGACTGAACAAAGAGGAGCTGCTGAGGGTGGCCGGGACCCCCGGGTGAGGAGCACAGGCCCTGATGCACACAGCTGGCTCTGAGAGGGTGTGGCTCTAAAGCTGCATTTTAAAATCCGAACCCATCCCATATTAACAACACCAAAATATCATGTAGACAAATATCAGACATGCTCCAGGCCTGCATGTATGAATGCATGAATCAGTCCAGAGCCCCAGCCCGTTCTTAAATTGCCTGTGATATAATATAAAGTAAAGAGTCCTGTACAGTGTTGCTTATCACATCCTCCTCCATGTTTCCTCAGCTGGGTGCGGACCCGCTGGGCGCTGCT